TATCCTGTTTTATTCATTCGTTTATTTTCAATATGCAAGAACAAAACAATGAATTGTTTCAGGATCTCAGAATTTGAAGCAAAGTGAAGCTCTGGATACATGCAAAGCAAACAAAAATGGAATTTTCGTGATCAGATCACACTGAACATCTTCCATCCACGGCCCCGTAATGCCTTCGTGCAAAAACCTGAATTTACTGAATGGTCGATTGTCCTTTTTACTTGGTATGCGAAAACGTAACATGATATAGGAGAAAATCCCAGCCGAAACATCCCTGAGAATGCTGATATTTTATTCATCTTCTCCACCTTTCCAAACTTTATAATAACCAAATGAAGGGCTTTTGCTTTGCTTTCTATACGTAAGATTAATAGAAATCAAAAAACTTTCCTGAGAAGAGAATTCGATGCGAGCACAGAGCTTCCATGCGGCTTTGTTTTATAGTACTCCGCATTATAACTCGAGACTTATCACTATTGCACACACATAACTCTAAAAATTAACATCTGCAAAGAAGCAAACTTAGAAATCCACAGATTGAAAAGAGAATAACTACTGAGCTGATTTTACTGAACAAAATAGGGCAAAAAAGCCAGGACGTCTTAAAAGAAAAGACCTTCAATGGTGGGTCTGAATACAATAAACCTTTCATGATCGGTCGACTTCCAAAGAATGAGCTAGAATTCGACAAAGAAAAAAATAGAAGTCTTTGCACGAAACGAAGAGAAGAGCAAATAAACGCGTTCAGACAAAATTGACTAAAAAGTCGCGCATAGATATTGCTGAAATAAACATGCAAGCTTCAAGTGAGTCTGCATTTGAGGAATTTCTGGGTAGCTGCGTTCTCCGTGACTGAGAGACAAATATACTGTTAAGTTAAAATTACTTACTCATTTCTCCATGTTGGGCTTGTATTCTGCAAATCCATAACGTAAAAAAGAGGGCAATCGCTATTCTAGAGGCGAAGAACCCCATCTTTTCAACCCAAGCAGCTTAACAGGGTTGAAACATAAAGGTTCTGTGAACAGCCTCTGGTGTTGCCTTGCGCGTGTATGAAGACAGTCAATGCCGCGCGGATAGATCGCATCACACCCCAGAGATCAATAAAGGTTTGTATTGTTTTGCCTGTGAAATACCACACCGTTGTCGTCTGAGACAGTGATCGACATGCGAGGTGTCAACTAACAGTGATCCACAACAATGTAACACAACGACCATTCACAAAAGATTTTTTTTCTGCCCTTTCTTGATATTTTCCATTGGACAGAATATCCAGAAAGTGTGTGAGCTAAAAAATAAGTTAAAAGAGGACATATTGGGTTGTTTTTCCAAAATCGAGGTCCCAAAGAGGCATAAAAACCACTTTTGTTCTTCACCACATGGTCATTTGATACATCAAGGGATTTTTTATCGGGATCGTACTGTCAAAGAAAACAGACGTTCTGTGTAATATGATGAAGGACAGGCAATCTTCTGTCGTTGACCTTTCTTTTCTCCTAGCTCTGCACAATAAAGAAATCCTCTATTTACCAAAGTCGGAGTGGTTGTGGTTTCGCAGTAAATGCAATGCAGTGTTCTAATTTCGTGAAGGATAACGGTGGTACAAAAGAAAAAGGCCGGGCATGATTGCATGACCGCCACTCAAGTGCTAAAGACGTGACATTTACCTGTCGTGACAATTCCGATAGTGTAATGAAAAACTGGATGATGAAGGGGCCTTTCAAATGAGAAAGGTGGATTGTACTTGAATTTTTGACACCATTGCGTGAGTGCTTGTGACCTTCTTTTTTCAAAAATATAGATTTAGACAACCAATGAATCATTCAATCTATTCATTCACTTTTTCATGGGTAAAAAAAATTAAGTAAAACTAAGATTGTGTCATAGAGACTTTTGTTCTTGGGCCATCGTAGTTTGATAAAAAATAAAACAAAAACAGCGGTGATAAACATTTGTGAGTTTTCGCATGTTTATAAACTTGACGTTTCGTACGCTATTCAACATACATTTTCAAAAGTGATCTTAACTGACCGTTAAAGAAAATGACGAGACTATGTAATCAAATATTATAACAACGAAAAAAAAAATGTCAACATCTGGAGTGAAAAGCTGTTGCTTTATTAGCTGTTGCCTTTTGCAATCATTACTGTTAAGAATTTTTGTACAAATTCTTAATCTCATTTCCAGACCCCTTGTCATTTTTGAATATATAGTCTCGTCATTTTCTTTAATGGTCACTTTTGAAAATGTGTGTTGAATAGCATACGAAACGTCAAGTTTATAAAAATGCGAAAACTCACAATGTTTATCACAGCTGTTTGTGTTTTATTTTTGATAAAACTAAGATTGGAAAGCCACAATAAATTTGAGAGGCGAGAGGACAAGCCCAGGGGGTGTACTCCCTTAAATGGCCCGCGCCTGTACAGGGATGTGCTGCTTTGTCCTCTCTGTTCTAAAACGGTCATTTTGGGGTAACTTTGACGGTGTAATTGAGTGAAAAAGCATGCTTCCATCACCTTATTCTTCCTTAAGTCAGATAAAAAGCAAACATCTTACAATGGCACACTTTATTTTACATAGTGTTGGAAGCAAACTGTCACATACATGAAATCTTTTCAGTAGAACAAACAGTAAAGTTTTAAAAATCGTCACTTGCATTAGATATGGAAAAAAAGAGCCACCTATATTATTCTAACAATATTTTTATTTATGAGGAATCTGGTAAGCCTGTCGCTGGGTTTTGCAGCAGTAACAGTCTTGACTTTGCTTATCTGAAAAAAAAAGTAAAGCAAAAAAACTAATGTAAGCCTCAATAAAAAACAAGATATTTAGTCTTGCTACACTGTACATTGACAAAATTGTTATTAAACCTCTCTAGCAGTTCTTTCAGATGAAGATAATAATATTATTTCATTTATCAAGAAGGCTGTGTTAAAAATTCCGGCAAGCGACATGGCCTTGAAACAGCGACATAACACTAAATGAAAATGGTGTCAAATGACACAAAGATGGGTTAAAACCTGACAGGGACATGGCCTACTCCTCAAAACGCCAAACAACTGCAATTAAATTTCAGCCTGGGGACGTACGCACTTCCCCCAAGAGAACCTCATCAATATAAAACTGAATTTAGAAAGCTTTTTAAACTGACACTCATAGTGGTTAAACAGTTACTATCAAGCCAAGAAAACTGTGAACATGTAAATTAATTTAGGAATGTTCACTGTATTATGGCCATTGGAGAGGAAGACACTGAGCTAACAGCAAAGTCCCAGTCCTATTACTGTCACAACATAGAGTACTCACTTTCTCCACTTGACACAACAACACTCGAGACTATACATTTAATACATTTCTTTGCTTACACAGCACCACTATGACATAAAATTGGGAAATTTCATGGGTGAAATAAGCCTGAATTTAACCCATCTCCTCTTAAATGGAGATGTCCAAATTAAGAAGCCACAGACAGCTGTCCAGTGACATCACTATTCAAAAACTGGCACATAATTTGATTGGTTGATTGTAAAAACATTTGCATAATTATGAGAAATATTGGTGGAATTGTCATTTGCTATTAGGGGGATTGCATACATTGTGTATTTGCATGGAGTTCAAAATGTTGACAGTCTTTACTGTAAACAGGAAAATAACCTTTTCCATTCTTGTCTTTGAAACTAGTCACGACCTGTTAAATTTACCTCCAGATATGAACAAGTGGGATGCTAGGCATATACGTACTGTGTTTGTGCTTTTAACTTTAAATTTTTAATCATTTTAAACAGTAAATGTAAAGTTTTGTTTTATCTAGCCTTTTCTAGCTCTAGGGTCTAGTCTTAGTTTTTTACAATAATAGTTGTAAATTTAGTTTTTCAAGCCTTTTTAGTACTTAGTTGGAGACTGAAAGTTTGCTTGATAGCTCTAATCTGTTGTAATTTTGGGGTGCATCTTGTAACCAAGTATCTTCGAGCAACAAAACAAAATTGAGTCTCATTTTTGACTCTAAAACCACTAGCTTCTCATCCTCTTCTTGTTATCGGTTTTCAATGACTTCTGTATATTCTAAAGCTGATATTAAATGAAGAAACGAATCATTTTGCATTCAAAACAAATCATCTGGCATCAATTGTTTTGAACTGAATGTTTACGCTTGCTAACCAGGCAAATTTTGGAGCATGTGCTTGACCCAAGATGGCAGTTTGTTGAAAGTTATTTAGAACTACACTGCGATCTTGCGCTTGTTTCAGACCTTTACTTTCTGAACAGAGCTCCCAAAACTGTTAATAGAACAGTGATAGCTCTTTTATCACAGTTATTTTGAAAAAGAAGGGCCTAATTTTACCAGATTTGGCATTTAATTAACAAAATATTCAGGCTCATGTACTACGCGATCAATTTTATCTTGATACTACTAATGAATGTACTGATGTCAATATGCCGCAATCAAGACAGCTGACTTGTTTATGGAACAAAATGGCTTCCCTAAGTATTTGCAGCTTTAGAAAACAATGCTTTTTGTGTTGATGGGTGTGATTTTTTTCCTTTTGATAGAAATATCTAACCTTTTTAGCTTTTGTTTACATAGGTGAATGCAGTATGGCCGTAATCAGCATCACTGAAAACTGGTGAGCATCACCAAAAATCGCGGCGTACCTTATAGCCAGGTATTTTGGCTTAATTTTCAGTTTGTTGACTAAGAAAAATGGTGTTGAAAAGTTTGGGGAGTGTCTTATAACTGAGTGCACCTTATAACCGAAAAAATACGGTAAGTTTTATCTCTGTGAAGCACTATCGTGCATTCTTTTGGACAAAGGACTACATAAAGAAATAAATTTTATTATTTTAAAGAATCAATATGGAATTTAATAACAGCAATGTTTTTGGTACCGTCACTGTCGTGGTTGCTTAAGTTCCCAGTTAGTGTAAACTAAGCCTCAAGTCGATAACTGGATTCATTAATTGGAAGGTAAAACAGGAAAGCTACTAACCATGAATAAGTGTCATTGCACTATGATGTTGTTGATGGGGATGTGAATGAGTTTGACAAAAAAGCCAATGAAGCCCATGATAGCAAAACCAATAGCAGTGGCAAGGGCAATCTTCTGAAATTCTGCAAACAAAATGAGATGATTCACTGTCATGCCCAGAAATGAAAACTCCTCTTGTGGTTTAAAGCAGGGTGTTGATTAGGCATTGGCGTGGAGCCTCTTTCAAAATATTCTCCTGTAATGTTACACCTTTCTCCTGCTACCAGAATTCTTAATGGCAACCCTGTTGAGGCTCTAATTCAGTCAAGATTATATGCACTGTTTATTCTTGTTCTGTTTTAAGAAGTCCTGTTTCCTTCATTTTTTGCTTGTCACAATGCTGACTAAGGGTGCTTTCCAACAGTTAGAACTGCCAGCCAAACTTGTTATTCAATATGAAAATACGCTTTTTAAAAGAAAACCCATCAACTCCATGCATATTATAGGAATTAACTGATCTGGCTAGAAAATGGCTAAACAGTTCTGATTAACATTGAAATACTTCTTATGACGGGCATAGTCTGAGCAGCCAGTTCTGACAAATGGAAAGCCCTAGAAGTATCAACTTATCAGCGTATCCACTTCAATATACACTAAGAACAACAATAAAGCCCATAACATGTCTTTTTGTCGTTCTTAAAGCCACTGAAGATAGAAAAGCCTATGAAAGGAAGGATCAGGTATCCATGTATTCAGCTCTTTCAGGAATACAGCTTGAAAGTGGCAGGGTATTACTCCATTAATCATAACTATAACCAAATTCTTTAATCTGATTGGTTATCAACTGCCCTGATTTCAGTCTTAATAGGACAGTACACACCATCACACGCATGCTTAAATGGCTTTTTTTTCATTGCTAGCAAAAAAAATCTTGGAGTTTCTCGTGTTTTGATTTTAAAAAGAGCCTTATACACCACAAATTTTGTTTAAGTTATGATCAATTATTGGTAACAGAACTTTGTGTCCACAAATTCGGTCTGTAATCATACTTGTGGTTAAACAAGTCAGACTCCGCTAAGAAGTCATCCAATTTGGTTAATCACTCGTATGATTACAGACCGAACTGGACTCCACTCAGTCCTGTTACCATCACTTATTATATTTGAGACTTATAATCCAAGCGTCAAGACAATGAATTGATCACTTGTACCGTTCCAAGTTGGACACAAAGGAACTTGGAGTTTAAATCACCATAATGTTAAGGGACTATAAAGGATCTAAAAGAAGATTCAAATGAAAGCAGTCTGATAAGTCTCTAAAGAATACTATACTGGGCGATTTTCACTAGACCACAAAAAAGACAAAAACAAAAAACCGCTGGTAAATATAGCAAAGAGCTTAACCTTACGATCAGGATAAAAATTGGAACATTTTCTCAACAAAATACTCAACTCAAGCTTAAACCAAAGAAAATTACAAACGATTTCGGGAACGTCACTTGACAATTGAAAAAACAAGTTAACAATTACCCTTTCTATCTGGCTTCGTACATCTTTTCACAAGTCTCATCGAGTCTTTGGCGAACTGCTTGCATGGTTCAAGAGCGTTGGTGATCTGATCCATTGTATTGCTTTAATCCTTTTGAATATGAACGTAGAGGTTAGAAAGAGTTTTTAAAGTGATTTTAGACCAACTACTACAGAGAATGACGATTAATTCAAAGTTTTTCTTACCGGAAAGAGTCACCACAAAACAGAAGATGTCGTGTCACTAAAGAGAAAGAACGAAGCGTGGTGTTGCATTATGGGAAGGAAAAATATTTCTCCGCTGATCAAAGACCCTCCAACGTGGGCTCATTTGGACCCCCTGGACCACAAAGTTCAGGACTATTCATAGTTGAGGTACGTTTTACGTGTATTTCCAGCGATAAAAGCAGTAGCGATATCTTCTCTATTTTAAGACTGTGTAGCAACCGTAGCAACAAACGTTCATTCGGCTCGACCCAGGGTCTCATCCCTTCCGCGCGGGAAAACGGAAGAACGAATAAAGAGTTTTCTATTTTTTTGAATACCCAGGAGCGTCTCATCCAACTAGAGCAAAAATCACTTCATCCGGGAAAGCCTGTGACTTAAGAAAGATTTTTCATAGCAATCGGAACCTTTTTCAAGAACGTGAACAAAGGAATCGCATCCTCCCCAAGCGCAAATTAGGCCTCACGTCCCGATTGTGTTCGCTAACTTTTGAGCAACTTTCTGCGGTTCTAGCAACCTCGAGCAATTTTTTGTCTTTCTGTGCAATTTTTGAGCAAAATATAGGTTTAGAGCAGATATCAAACACGATAAAGTCAGCGATTTCATAGAAAGCTTCACTTTATTGAATTTTCATAAAGGTCAAGAGAGGATTGTCCTCTCTGGTAAATGTTTGGCAACCTCTTGAACATACAATCTCTCACTTGTCCACTTTTCGCAGGCCTAAAAATAATTAATTAGTATCCTTAATTTTCTCTTCAGTCCAGTCTTAAGAGTGACCTCATGCGCATGTGCAAAAAATTATGACCAACCCGTTTCTCTATAGGGTGATACAGTTGAGAGGCTAGGAACAGGTTCAGATCTCGCATTCATATGTCAGCTTTTAGCGGTTCGTTCATGGAGTATCGTTTGTTCTTCGTTATTTGCAAAATAAGTCGTCGATATTAACCCCACAGTATTTCCCCTGCAAGAAGTTCCTCCACTTATTGAGTGAAGAGGACAAAAGGAGTACGCCAAAATTGAGCAAGCGAAAGGCTCAGGCTCGTTCCCAGGTTCTCTCTCCTACCCGTGCTATCGCTCCGCAGGGACGAGTAGAAAAGAACCCTGGGAACGAGGTTGGCGAAAGGCTCTGCTGGCAGGCCGCGCGGCGTTGCGAATCGGGAGACTGGGTATGAGCGCATGGCACAAGCATCCGCGCCGGTGTCATGTAAATAAATCGGGAAAATAATTAAACTTCATTTAGTCATCTTCGTGTTCCGATACATCTGTTTCCTTTCTTGTTTTTCTACCTTCGGAGCTCTTGCCGCAACGTTTCCACTTCATTCGGCGGTTTTGGAACCAAATCTTGACTTGAGTCTCCGTTAACATAAGACTGGTAGCAAGCTCGTATCGCTGCGGTCGAGTCAAGTATTTCTGCGCCTGGAACTGGCGTTCCAATGTTAGAAGTTGATGACTTGAGAAGGCTGTGCGAGGACGACGCTGTTTTCCATTCATGATGAGATTTCGTTGGTGAAAATGTTGATGGGGGTAATCTGTCAAATAGAAACGAAAAATTTTAGTATATGGCTCTTGTAAATGAGAATGTTTTCAATTGTTTTCCTTAAACAGGCCACTGTGTGCAGGTCCCATCAAGACTTAAATTTGCCTGCAATACAGATCTCCGGCCAAAAAAATTGGTTGCATGATCAGTAAAATGACAATTCTGTGCCTACGACTGCCAACAAAGTGCAAATTATGCTAGCAGTGTCTTTCTTTTGCACAAGTTGAGCGTTTTTTATGCTTTCACCACAGTCGCGTCAGAGATTTTCAATATCTTAGAACGTTAGGGTTCTCTCAGGACTGGTAAACGAGCGCGAGCATATTACGAACAAGTCTGAATCAAAATTCAACAAGAAAGCAGGCAAATTTGAGCGGAAGAGCTCTTTCTCTCCTCGTTCCCTTCCTGTACTCTAACCTCTAACCCCGATATTAGGTTCCCCTCGCGGTTGGCCTGCCAGCAGGTGTTTTTTGTTTTTCTGAGAAGAGACATATAGAGATACGATATAAGGAAGGTATGATCATAAACTACTTATCAAATATTCCTCGAGCCCGAATGGGCTTTGAGGCAATAGTCTATGAGGTTGAAGGCCGAATGAGCTATTAACTCAGAGGCCATTAGGACGAGGGGGATAATTGTTTTAGTTAAATCCAACTAGCTGGTCAAAAATATCGAGAATAAAAAAATTTTATCTAGTTAAAGCTAAGCCAAAAAGCGGGCGCTTTTCGCTACTAGGGGGCTATAACATATAGCTTAGTAGTAGCTCAACCAATCAGAACGCAGCATTGATAATAGACCACTAGTTGGATTTTACTAACTATGCTTAGCCATTCATTATATATATGCTTGTCCCGTCCTATGCTTCTGTGCGACATGGTGCAAATTTCAAATTATCTCAGTTTAATTTTTGTCCATAACCTTTGTCTATGCTGTGAACAGTTTGTTATAATTCAGTATAATTCAAAGAAATCTATCCTCTCCTAAAACCAAGCTCATTCTCCCTTGCGTAAACTCAACCCGTTTCGTTGGTTTTCGTGAGCTCTTGNGCTACTAGGGGGCTATAACATATAGCTTAGTAGTAGCTCAACCAATCAGAACGCAGCATTGATAATAGACCACTAGTTGGATTTTACTAACTATGCTTAGCCATTCATTATATATATGCTTGTCCCGTCCTATGCTTCTGTGCGACATGGTGCAAATTTCAAATTATCTCAGTTTAATTTTTGTCCATAACCTTTGTCTATGCTGTGAACAGTTTGTTATAATTCAGTATAATTCAAAGAAATCTATCCTCTCCTAAAACCAAGCTCATTCTCCCTTGCGTAAACTCAACCCGTTTCGTTGGTTTTCGTGAGCTCTTGTTTGTTCCAGGCTTGTAATTAATACAAACTGAAATCGGACATCAACACCCGGTATTCTGGTGCCCATTACTTCAAAATCAATCCTATTTCAATAATAAAATATTACAAGTAACCATCTTTGTTCTAAATGTCGATAGATCAGTTTCATTTAGATATTTGACGTAATAGCCTACGCTTTGCGTGAAGAAGATTATGTCCCAATCATACACCCACAACGTTTAATTTATTGTATAAGTTTGAAAAAAGCTTACTCGATCACATTGTACTAAAACCGCCTGATATAGTTTTCTGATCATTAAGAATCCCTATCTTCATTGCTCTGGAGCAATGCCTACTATATTGAATATAATAAGGGTTTTAGTTCATATGCAGTCTATGAGGGGCTCAATTTGGTTAACCGTCAGCCGTCAAACGGCCTAAAATTTTACTGTCAACCGTCAAAAAAAGGTAATTTTTTACTGTCGACAGTCCAAAATTCAGGGTGATCAACCGTCAAAACGTTTCAAGGTATTTCAAAGTCTCACTATTTCAGCTGATCTTCACGTCCTTAACGGACTTTTGGCTCCTGAAGAATCTCCAACTTGAAAAACCGCGTACCATGTTCTCAAAAACACTCTCTCTGAACATTACAAGACCTTACAAGTTTGTTTTCTCCTGAAAATGTTTCGATATTTTATACGTGAAAGGCCAAGACAGGCTCCAAAACACAACAGTTAATATTAATTCACACACAACTTAATATTTACTTTAACTTATGGACCAAATTTTCACTAACTAACCGTCAACCGTCAAAAGCTCTAAAATTTAGCCGTCAACCGTCAAAATTGGAGAAAAATAATCGTCAACCGTCAAAGCTACCACCCCATGGAGACCCTAGTCTATCTATAATGAACTGTAAAAAAGAAAAATGAATAACTATCAGAAACCGATGAACTGGGTCAAATCTCCTGCCCTGATCTCATGAATTAGCCTACCTCATAACTTTGTCATCCTACTTTTTTGAATTCCATGAAATGACGACGCATTTCAGAGAAGCCGTGACTAGTCAGTTCTCATTGTTTGTGTGAAAATTGTTTGAACAAAATGTACCGCCAAAGCTTGCTTAATTTAACGTCTTCTTGTTAGTGTATGCTGTATTGATGTTCTTGATAGTATTTAGCTTTGCCTTTTGAACTATCCGGCAGGGAGCTGCGCTGGAGCGGGCTTGGCTTTTTTTTACCAATCGGGTTTCCACGTTTAAGTACAGATACGAAGATGGACCACTATAAATCAGAAACATTGAGGTGATAGTGTTTAAATATCTTACCCTGATAAGCATAAAGATGTCTGTCGTAATACCACGGTGGGCAGAATGCGCTAGGCTCGCTAACATGACTGGAACAGTTTGGATGCAGCGAACTGCAGCAATGGCCCATCTGTTGTCCCCAAATCATAGGTTGCACCCTCGGCAACAAAATCGGTCTACGAGCGACAGTGGTTTGCGAAGTTTCCTCCTTCTGTTTCGCTTTCGCTGCCTCTTTGGAAAGATCTTCGCCTAAAATATCATCAATTCTAAAGGATCTGTGTTGCATTTTGTCGGCAATGTCAAGCGAATGTGCTCATAGTAACGAATTGGGTTGTCTCTAGCTTGACGGGGTGTCTTTTTCACGAAAGGATGTAAACTCACTTAATGTTATTGTAACTATACTCTTGTTCACACACTATTCGCAAATTCAATTACTCTCTGCTGCTGTGATTGGCAGCGTTCGCGACAATTAGCTTCTAATCTTTTGTTAATGAAAGTAGATGAACCTTGAATAAAGCTCAAAGTAGGACCATCACGCCCTCATTAACATTAATTTAGATATAATTTGCTTAAAGGTCTTAATCGCCCACATCGTGACTTTGATTGTGGATCTGCAAGGGTATCAATGAAAATATCAATAACTTCTATTTTTACCACAGAAATTAAACAATAGAACCGCGAATCTAATTTGACGCCTTTAAAGCGTTTCTAAAACGCTTTTGCGACAAATTAAACAGACAACGCCACTTTTAATTCCAGGAAAGAAAGATTAAGTTTCATGGATTAAGAACTACTGTTTGCTAAATTCTTTCGTTGGCCTTAGGATTTAGACAGATTTTTAAACAAAGTTAACATCACGCACTATGAAATTCCTTCCTTTTCCTGTAGATGGCACATACCCGTCAACTTAAATTCTCAACCTGGGAGGGTGAAATGAAGCCAGTTTAAAAAAGTCAAACACTGGAAATGTTACCATTAGAGAGACTTGCAAAAGATATTAGACTTTTTGTTAGCACCCTATTTATAAAAGCTCACCATCGAAATTTGAGATTATAAATATCTCAGGCTTTCACAAATGCAAAGAAAAAGTGATTGATATTTCAGAAAATAGCAATCGGCCGTTGACCAATCCTGAGAGGTGTAAGCGACTTTAACAGCAATCAAAACTCCACCGCCCGTCTTTGCTAATAAACTTTACAAAACTGTGTATACATTTCAAAGTACACATGCATAAAGTTCGAATACCTTATTTAGAGGACTTACACAAAAGTTGTTTGTTTTGTAGACCCGCGACTTAAAACGTCGATCGACAATCACGCACAAAGAGACAAACTTAGTCTCTTTTGATTTTCATGCAAATGTTAAAGCGTGGGCTCGCGAAATTACTTTCTTTGTCTAACTTACAGTAGTGTAACGACAAGGCCATAAACAGGAAATCGCGTTCCTTTTAATCATCCGTTGGTAATAAGCTTTGTCCTTTGTTCACGACAGATTTCTTTCTTCTCGGATCTCGTGCTCTTTATGATTTTTATTAGCGATGGAAATTCAATTTTAATTAGCTTTTGTCTTTCTGTACAGGTGAAGACTTTAAAGAGTTTTCTATCATTTGTGCCTTAATTAACCAAAATCGTTTTATTTTGAAAGGCGTATCCAGGGCAAAAATCAATCTTCCATTCAGATTAATTCATTAGCAATGTAATTTTATCATTTCTATTTCGAACTCGTCGGTGATTGCTCAATGAGAAACATGCACAGGAAACTCCGTCTCGACTTTTTTTGGGTCATTTATTTATTGAATTTTGCTTTCGTGATGAAAAGCAAACGCTAAAATTAAATTTTATGTAGTAATTATGATCTAAACGAGTCTAAAATACTCAATATTAACGCATATCTGTTAGTTTAATTTGCAAACAGAAATGCCATGTTACCTAGCTAATGAGATTTCGATGAACTTGCAAGCGAGCCTTCGTGACAAAACGTAGTTGATTTAAGTAATACCACTAGCTTACAAACAAAGAAGAAGTAAAAAAAAGAAAGTTTACAAAAGGAGATTACAAAATATTTGTAAGCAATAATAAAGCGTTTAAGCTCTCCTTGTTGTTCTTTATGAGCAGCTTTAACAAGAAAAGTCTCGATTTTTTAAATGCCCTTCGGCAGCACCACCTGAAGGGACAATCTGTACATCGTAATTGCCCTTTATTTTTTTGGCGTCGTATATCAGAACAAGGATATAGACTGTTAAATAGATCGAACAATTAATTAACTAGAACATCTCAAATGAGAAATGGAAGTAACAGGATAGTTAAATGAAAATGTCATAGCAATCAAAGGCAAATTAATCTACGGCATATGACTTCTTGCATATCCGCTGGGTCTTTACGTTCACCGCCAGCAAAATAGACCAGTACCACGTTTTATTTTTGGACGAGTAAGACAAAATCTGTCAACTTCTCTGGAAAAAGCGCTTTTAAATCAATAAAGTTACCAAAAAAGTTTGAAAGTGATTTGTTGAAAACTAACGAACATATAGCCCCTCAAAGTCGTAAATTTTTCAAGACCTTTGTATGTTGGGGAGCAAGTTTGTTCCTCCACCATAAAACAGTCTTTAAAATTTCGCGACTTTCGGTGATGTATCTTCGCAAGCTTAAGACGTGTTACTTTGAAACTTGGCAAGTTTACTAATATTAAAGCGATCTTTTTAGCAGTGTCGGCGACGTTTTCCTAACTGGACATGTCAAAAGTTGAAAAAAGCGTGAGGGTCGATTTGGCAACCTGTGAATTGTACAACTGGATGGAAACGATTCCTCTGTTAGTATGTGCAGCGGAGGCCAGGAGGCCGAGGTCTCTGAACTTTGTACAGTAATATTGCATTATTTTTATTCACGCAATCGCTTTCATCGTCAGGATCAATCCAATTTGAATTTGAGATTTTGGGAAATATACAAAGAGAGCTTTTAAAACAGCACCAGTCAACTTGGTGCTACTCTTGGTTGAAACTCATTCATTTTCGAAAAATGGTAAAAGAAGATGGGTTAGTTAAAACGAACATGCTTTTTTATATAAAACCACAAGTACGAAAACATGTATCTGAGGTCTTGTCCACACTAATGTGTTCTCAAAAGTATGCGTTTTCGCTGTCATCAAAAACGCATCGACCAACGATTCGCGTCCACACAACCGTTTTGATGCTTTTCAAACTGCCCACACTAAAACGTTCCAAAACGATAGAATTTCACGTCGTGACGTAAGTTGAACTTCTATACAAACACAAAAGGCTTTGATATTTTTGGGCATTGTTTTCATTTTGATGCGTTTTCGACCGTTTTCGACCAGGACCGGGGGGGGTCTACAATGGCTAATACGATACGTAGGCGCTTTCGTTTTGACTGACTTTCGAGAGCGTTTTCAAACGATGCGTTTTAGATGAAAACGCTCAGCGAATTAGTTTGGACGGAACACCTAAACGCATTTGTCGACGGAACCTAAACAATCTGTTCGGTAACAGTGAAGGAACGTGACTTTTACTAACACGGAGCTGAAATAAAGGCTTGAACCAAAACTGCCGGAAAGGCTGACAAGACGGCAAAGGGCTGAATTCGTAGAGACCAATATGTTGGCTGACAAGGATTGGCCTGGCCTTCCTCAGGGCCATAAGTAAACTGATAAATAAACCACCTAAAATAAATCAGCCCTTCGCCGTATTGCCACCCTTTCATCCAGTTTTGTTTTAATTTACACATCAAAAGTGACATCTGGCTTCAGTAAGCATTTCTACATTCAACCACAGCAGGACCAGCTCAGTCCGTAGAGCGCCTGACTGCAGAGCGGGAGATGGCGGGTTCGATTCCCGGGTCTTAAAAATAAAAGAGAAATGGGAAC